GCTCGACGCCTGGTCAACAGCCTCAGACCAAGAACGAGAAGCCCGGGAAGGGGCCGGGGCCGCCGGCCGGCGCCGAGATGGCGGCCGTGAGCGTGCCGGACACGTGCGATCTGTCGCGTGGCGAGTGGGTGTTCGACGACGTCAATTATCCGCTCTACCGGGAGGATCAGTGCCAGTTCCTGTCGGAGCAGATGTCGTGCTTGCGGAACGGCCGCCGGGAGGTCATGTACCAGAAATGGCGGTGGCAGCCCAAGGGCTGCTCCTTGCCCAAGTCAGTACACCGAACACCGTCCATCTCGACTCGTATCAGCTTCTTGACATCATCTCTGTTTTGGTTAATTTGGGCTGATGGTAAGTAAGGATTCTCGATTCGCCAGATTTGATCCGAGGCTGCTGCTGGAAAGGCTGCGGGGGAAGCGGATGATGTTCGTGGGCGATTCGATGAACCGAAACCAGTGGGAGTCCCTGGTGTGCCTCCTGCAGACCGTGACACCGCCGGAGAAGAGGAGCCGTCGGGTCGACGGCTCCCGCAGCATCTTTACGGTAGAGGTACTACTACTACTACTACAATCCTTCCGCCGCATCCATCAAAGCTCAGCTCGCTCTACGGCTATCGTGTTCTTGGCTGATCCGTCTCCCACTGTGAAAAACCCAAGGACTACGACGCGTCGATCGAGTTCTACTGGGCGCCGTTCCTGGTGGAGTCGAACTCCGACGACCCCAACATCCACACCATCGACGTGAGGATCATCAAGGCCGAATCGATCGAGAAGCATGCTGTGCAGTGGAAAGGGGCGGACGTGCTGGTGTTCAACACCTACATCTGGTGGATGAACACTCGCAAGATAAAAGTGTTGTGAGTAACCAGCAGCAGTCGATCGGCCACACTTGCGGTCGCATTTAGCTTCATGTTCTTACATCCATCATCTGTCTTTGGGAGCAGGCGTCCGGGGGCCAAGAATTGGACACACACCGATGACGTCGAGCGATGGGACGCGTACGAGACGGTTTTGAGGACCTTGTCCAAATGGCTGGATCGAAATATGGACCCCAACCGGTCGTCGGTGTTCTTCATGAGCATGTCTCCTCTTCACATCAAGTAAGCAACTCCTTGCATTCTTCTTGTTCGAGCATCATCTTAGGATCTACTGAAACCATGCCATTTGCACTGCGTCCAGCACAAGGACGAGATCCTTCTCCCGTGACCCATTACCGTTTGAGACATCAAAATGTGAGGCACTCGTCCAGCCTAACCCCCTTGGAAACAGAGATGACATGTTGACCCCATCGAACATACCGCAAGGGAACGAGTTAAATATTTAGTACTAGCTAGATCTTGCAGCAGAGTTTTCCTCGTGTTTTTCCATGTAGCACCATTGGTAGGCTTCGATGATGGGGAATGTAGGAACACCGTGCGTTGATTCTGGTAGGAAGACAGTGGTGTCACTGTGCGTGACATTGGCGGTGGCGTTCGAGCGAAGTTTCCTCGAGAGCTTCCAAACCGAAACGTAATGTCAGCAAGCGGTGCCCACGGCCCACCGTGATGTCCGGCTGCCTAACCTCTCCGGACGACCTTCTCGACATAGGCCTTCCCCATAAAGAACACCAAAACAACAGTCTCGATGCAAACAAGATTGACTTGGCTTTGTCACCATGTTCACTAAATTCTCGGCTGCAAAGTCTCTAAACTTGGGTGTGACGAGGTGACTCAATTACCACCTTAAGCTACCTGTCTTCCGTTAGCAGCTGTCTCGATGCAGCTGTCCCATCTTTACCATTATTCGGTGACCATGCGACAGGGAGTTGATTCTTTTCTTGCAATGCATAGAGAAAGAAAGGGTTCTGTAGCTAATTGATTTGGAGTTGCTGATGCGTAGGAGCTCGGACTGGGGTAATCCGAACGGGATCAAGTGTGCGAAGGAGACGCTGCCGATAAAGAACATGACCGGAGTCTCCGTCGGCACCGACATGAACCTGTTCGCGTTGGCAAAGAAAGTGACGGGGTCGACGGCGCGGGTGCCGGTCACCTTCATCGACATCACGGCCATGTCGGAGTACCGCAAGGACGCCCATACCTCGGTGTACACGGTGCGGCAGGGGGCGCTGCTGACGCCGGAGCAGCAGGCGAAGCCGGCCGAGTTCGCCGACTGCATCCACTGGTGCCTGCCCGGCCTGCCCGACACGTGGAACCAGGTCCTCTTCACCCGCCTCCTCTCCGCCCGCCCGCGCCACTGACAATCGAGTCCTCCTCTTTCTCTCTATCATTTTGATTTCTTTTCCATTGCCGGAGAAAAAAAAATCCAAAATTTTACTCGACACGAAGATCGACGACAAGATAAGATTTTACTGTTGTTGTTAGAAAAGGGAAATATATCAGGGGAGATAAATTAATTATCTCTTGTGTTGAGCTTATTTACGGGGGCGCATTCGGTGAAAGTGGAGGGTGTTGTTCCGATGATGTGACTGAGCTCCGACCAACCTTCATCATTCAGAAAAGAAACGAGGATGAGTTCCTTTTCTGTAGCGTTCGGTTCGACCTGCCTAATTTATTTCCATCACACCAATAAATAATGGAACGTGGAAAGCAACGGTGAGACCCACCACACCACACACCACACCGGACTTAGAGCGTCACATGCGTTCTGGACTCATGTAGCTAAAAGTTCCCTATTTCTCGTGCCGTATGACTTTTATAGACCGAGGCCGAGGTGGGACGCCGGCTGTTACCCTAATTTTGGATTCGATATGCTAAATGATCCTAATCGAACTGAATAGTTGCCACCGCATAAATTATCTGCTTGCTAATCTATCTAAGAATTATATATTATTTATGCAATTTGAGACGCAAAAATCCATTATCCGTAGTGATAGGGGTAAAAAAGCTGATTTGACATAACACCCCGGATTTGACGTAATGCACCCCCACGTCGAACACCCTGAGCGGCGTACGGCTCCTGAACGGGCATTAACGACGACACGACGCGCACCTACACCCACCATACCCAAGCAACCTCCTCGGCCGACCCCTCGCGGTCGGCCAAGGCAAGAGAAGGCGCTGTCTGACACCCCCCATGCCCTGCGGCAGCTCGACATTCTACGCAACGACCACAACGACAGACGCCATCAGAGGTACGGCCCCACCCCGGAAGGATGGCACGTCAGGTAACATCAAACCCACTTATAAATACCCCCTGGCTCCCAACAGAGGGGGGGACCTCACAAAAACACTCCATTCTGCTTCACTGACTTGATCGTCGGAGGGGTCGGGCCGAGCTACCGACCCGACCTGTGTGCAGGTACTCGACCGCTGCTCGATCCGCTCGACGCCACGGAACTTTCTGGCCAGCAGCCTCCGTGGCTGCCAACGCAACATCCCAAGGGGAGCCACGTCTGATCCCAACCATTTGGAGCCCTTAACCAGCCGCGTCGACCCCGAGGTCACAGCTAAAGAAGTTACTTACCGTAACAGATTGGCGCTAGAAGGAGGGCCGGCCCAAATGTCAAGCGATCAGCAAATCCACTTCGGCGGACCCCCGACTACTGGGCTCCCCGCCCCAGGGGAATACCCCCCACGTGGTGAAACCCAAGACGAACGCCCCGCGGCGGTGTCAGAACGCTACTGGCGATTGTTTAATGACTCAGGCTTGTCGCCTCCCGGCGATACACCCGTCGGCCCGTCGCAAGTGTCACCCGAGGCCTTCCATGACCTCGCCCACCAGGTCCGAGCCCTGACAAGCATGGTGCAGACTATCGTCCCGATCGTCTCCCAGCAAGCCCCTCCGCATGCGGCCCGACCTACGCAGCAACGGGAGCCCCCTGTCCGGGCTCACGCGCCGCTTCTAGAGCTTCCTATCTCGCCCCGAAACCTCGCAACTCGGCCCGGGAGCTGGGAAGCGGAGGACACGGCGAGTCGACCCGAGCCCGAGGCTCCGACCGCCGACTCGACAAATGCCTTGCGAGCTCAGCTGCGCCTCGTCAGTCAAAAACTGGACGAGGTACAACAGGAGGTCCGCAAGTCAAAAGGGGAGCCCGGGGCGGACGGACACCAAGGGTCCTCGTTCACCCCCGAGATGCAAAAGCAGGCGATCCCGCCGCACTTTCGCCTCCCCTTGCTGGACGCGTATGACGACGCCGCTGACCCAGCGGACCACGTGGCCGCTTTCCGCACCCAGATGGCGCTGTACGGGACTTCTGACGCTTTAATGTGCAGGGCATTCCCGACGACTCTGCGGGGGCCAGCCCGCGCATGGTACAGCAGCCTGAAGCCCGGGACCGTCACCTCCTTCGATCAGCTCGCCAAAGATTTCGAGCTTAACTTCCTGGCCTATGCCCGACCGAAGCCGTCCATGGCGTTGCTCCTCGGGCTCAACCAGAAGGAGGATGGGCCCCTCTCCCATTTTGTGAACCGCTTTACGACACAGATCCGCGGATTACCGGATGCTCACCCCTCTCTCTTAATGCAGGCATTCATGACGGGCCTGCGGCCCTCCAAGTTCTTCTGGTCGCTCGTAGAGCGGCCCCCCGCCGCGGTCCCCGAAATGCTCCAGCGTGCCAGTCAATTCGTCGCCGCGGAGACTTGGATGGCTGAGAAGCGGGAGGATCACAAAAAGGTCAAGTCAGAGCCGCCCCGACAGCTGCAACCCGCCGCCTCCCGGCGGAGGACTGACAGACCCGAATCAAGGTCTCCTCTTCCCGCCTTGAATTCATCCCGAACCGAAATATTCCTGCACGAGAAGGGGAAGGGACTGCTCAAGGACCCTCACCCGATGAGGAACCCGCGGGAGCTCGCGGACCGTTCAAGGTATTGCCGATTCCATCGACAGCACGGGCACGACACTGAACAGTGCTACGAGTTGAAGAGGCAAATCGAGGAGCTTATCCTCAGATGACACCTCGGCCAGTACCTCCGGCTGAAAAAGGAGCGGTCACCTTGACCGGAGGGCCCCGTTGAGCGGCACGTCGATGTGATAGCTGGGGGCCCTGCATCTGGGGGTGGCTCCATGTCGGGCAGAAAGGCGTATGCCCGAGCCGCTCCTGACGAAACCTCGGGACGCGAGCCCGAGCCCGAAATTACCTTCCCGACCGGAGCTTCCGAGCGCCCCGATCACGACGACGCCTTAGTGATATCGGCCAGGATAGCCAACGCGCAAGTGAGGAGGATCATGGTCGACACAGGAAGCTCGGCCGACATACTTTACTTCGACGCCTTCCAGAAGCTGGGTTTGGCCAGAGAAAGTCTGAGCCCGATGTGCTCGACACTCACTGGCTTCACGGGAGATTCGATATCACCCCTGGGAGCTGTTACTTTGCCCTTGACTCTGGGGGCTCCGTCGAGGTCGAAAACGGTGATGACCACATTCTTGGTGGTCGACCTTCCCACCGCCTACAATGCCATACTCGGCCGGCCGACCCTCAACAAGGTCAGGGCCGCTGTCTCAACCTACTACCAGACCATCAAGTTCCCAACTCGTGCGGGAGTCGGGGAAGTCACGGGAAGCCCCCGAGAGTCTAGGTGATGCTACCTTACCGCCGTCTCATTGGGAAAGAAGGCCAGGACCGAGACGCCCCTGGAAGACCCACGGGAAACGAAAAAATTGGCTCCTCATCCCGAGCCGAGGGGATCCACTATTGACGTACCCTTGCGAGAGGCTCGACCCGACCAGGCGATCAAGATCGGATCGGAGCTGCCCGAGCGGGAGCAGGAACGACTCGTCGGGCTCCTACGGTAAAATGCCGACATCTTTGCCTGGTCCCCATCAGACATGACGGGTGTAGACCCGGAGGTCGCAGAGCATCATCTCAATATCCCACCCGACGCTCGCCCAGTGAAGCAAAAGCCCCGACGCCAGGCCCCTTACCGACAATGCACTATACAAGAAGAGGTGGTCCGGCTCCTGGCAGCAGGCTTCATAGAAGAGGCCAAATATCCCCGATGGTTGTCCAATGTAGTACTCGTGAAAAAACACAATGGAAGCTGGAGGATGTGCGTTGACTACACCAGCCTTAACAGTGCGTGCCCTAAAGACTGCTACCCCCTTCCGAAGATCGACCAGCTGGTCGACGCAACAGCCGGGCACGCGCGCCTATCCTTCATGGACGCCTATTCAGGGTACAACCAGATCAGGATGGCGCCCGAGGACAGAGAGCATACGGCTTTCCTCACCGATCAAGGGGTATACTTCTACAAGGTCATGCCGTTCGGGTTAAAAAATTCTGGGGCCACTTACCAAAGAACGGTGAACAAGATGTTCGCCCATCAGATCGGGAGGAACATGGAGGTCTACGTGGACGATATGATCGTGAAAAGTCAAGAAGCCGAAACGCACCTTGCCGACCTGGCCGAGACATTCGCCACACTGCGCAAGTTCGGCATGCGACTCAACCCCACAAAGTGTGCTTTCGGCGTCACCTCCAGGAAATTCCTCGGGTTCAGCGTCACCTCCGCCAACCCAGAAAAGGTTCAAGCAATAATCAACATGCAGTCCCCCCGAACGTTAAAGACCTGCAGCAACTTAACGGAAGGCTTGTCGCCCTGTCGCGCTTCCTCGCCCGGTCAGGCGATCGCTGCCTCCCGTTCTTCAAGGCGCTCAAAAACCCAAGGAACTTCCAGTGGACATCGGAATGCGAAGAGGCCTTCAAACAAATGAAGCGACACCTGGCCAGCCTCCCCCGCCTTGCCTCTGTCTCCCCCGACGAGAAGCTGGGCCTCTATTTAGCGGCCTCCCCGCGAGCAGTCAGCTCCGTCCTGATTAAAGAAAGCTCCGGCCAACAACTCCCGATTTACTATGTCAGCCACGTCCTGAATGGACCTGAGGAGCGCTACCCGCCAATAGAAAAACTTGCGCTCGCCTTAGTGCTCTCGGCTCGGAAGTTGCGTCCCTACTTCCAGGCACACCCGGTGGAGGTCATCACCGGCCAACCACTTCGGTAGGTTTTAACAAAATTTGATGTTGCAGGTCGACTCCTCAAATGGGCGGTGGAACTCGGCGAACATGATATAAGATACGTGCCCATGACCGCCATTAAAGCCCAGGCAGTGGCCGACTTCATCGCGGAGTTAACTCAGGTGGAGGATGGAGACCCCAAGCAAACCCCCGAAGCTTGGACCCTACACGTGGACGGCTCGGCCAACTCAAGGGGCTCCGGCGCGAGACTGGTCCTCCTTGCCCCTGACGGACGCTCGTTCGAGCGTTCCCTCCGCTTCGGGTTTAAAGCCACCAACAACGAGGCAGAGTACGAGGCGCTCCTCGCCGGACTAGGGCTGACCCTCAAGATGCAGGTAGCCGCGATACACGTCCTCACCGACTCGCAGCTCGTGGCCGAGCAGCTCAGCGGCGGATATGAAGCTCGGGACCCAACCATGGCAAGATACCTAGCACGGGTAAGGGACCTGACTGCCAAGTTTCATTACTTTACATTATCCAACATCCCGAGGGAGGAAAACGAACTAGCTGACGCGCTAGCTAAGCTGGCGTCGAAGCCGGCCTCCGAGGCACGGCTAGAGGTTGAGGAGCTCCCTGCTCGCGCCATTGAAGTGGCGACTACGGCCTCAGGCAGCACGCCAACCACATGGGTGCAGGAGCTGCTGCGCTTCAAGCGGGATGGAACCCTTCCCCTCGACGAGGCAGCGACTCGGCGCCTACGTCGCACGCACGCATGGTACACCAAGGAAAGTGGCCGACTTTACAAACTGTCATTCACCTATCCCCTCCTGCGATGCTTGGAGCCTGACGAAGCCCAGACGGTCCTAGCCGAGACCCACGAGGGGGTCTGCGGCGAGCACATCGGCGGGCGAAGACAGCAGTCGAGATAGGAAAATGTTTTCTTTTGTATTAAAAGCAAGCCCACTTACAAGACATGACTTACGGAAACATGACCAAAAAAAACAAAATACAAAACCCATTTTTATGTTTGGGGGACCTCTAGGCGATCGTCGAAAGGGACCTCCTCGGGCATGTCCACCCCCCGGTCCTCGGGGTGAGGAGTAAAAGGATCCTCCTCCACCTCGAGACCCGGGTGACGAGCACGAAAACGGGACGTGGCGATACGGTATCCGTATTCGAAGGACACCCGCCCCGTCCGCGTCAGACCGAGCTCAAACCCCTTCGACCTCTTGTAGGCCTCGAGGAGCTCCTTGTCTCTCGCGGATCGGTGACGGGCCTCCTCCGCCAGCGCCTCCGAGGCCGTCTTCGCCTCAGCCGTCGCCGCGTCCAGTTTCTTACTGAGGGCACCCGCCTCCGTCTTCAATAAGCGAAGTTTGGTCCGCTCCACCCTCATTATTTTCTGGAGCCCCTTGTTCGCCTCCTTCGAGGCCTCAAGCTCCGACCGGAGGCTCGCCGTCTCTGCCTCCAGATCCGCTGCACGCTTTTCTGCGGCCGCCACGGCCTCTGGGCCGGCACCAGCTTGAACCTCCGCGATCTGGCGGTGGAGCTCGGCGTTGCGATGGACGAGGCCCCCAATGACTTGCCCGGTGTCACGCACCCGGTCCATCAGGGCCACCGCGTAGTGGAGACCCTGCGTAGAGGGAAACAGACTAAGAAAAGGCGGCGTCGGATGGACGAACCGGGAAAACGGGAACATGCTTACCCAGGTCAGTGACTGGGCCGACTTGTTGAGCAGTGCCTCCGAGGGCAGAACATACAAGTCCCGAGCCATATCGGGATGGAGTGCGCCTCGGAGGAACGCTGCGGAAGGATCCCCTCCGGCCCATACCTTAGACCCCCGAGACAATCCCTCCCAGCGGGGAACCAGGGGGTCGCTGAGCTCACCGGGCAGGAGCTCGCTCGCTAGTCGCGTTAAGTACGGCTCCCCATCTTTGGCAGGAAGCCGGCAGAGGTCGCGCACGGAGACGGGGTGAAGACCCTTCCCCAGCCTCCGCCGGCTAGGGCCTGCCCCTCCGCGGTGAGAGCTCGCCTCGGACCCCTTCGACAGAGTCGTCTTCGCCTTCTTCGAGGAGCGCCCAGCCTCGATCTCCAACGGGGTGCTCTCTGAGCCGGGTAGTGGGTCGGTCGGCGGAGCGGGGACTGGAGGTTGTGGATCGGTGGGCGAAGCGGGAAGGGGGTGCTCCGAACCCTGGCCCCCCAAGAGCGAACGTAGGTTCACCATATCTGCGAAGAACAAAAGAAGTTAGTACTCGGAGCCAACCACGCAAGCGCCCGGACAAAACGTAACCAGACATACCCAGAGGCGTCGGGCTGAGGCTCGCCTCGACCAGCCATTGCTCGGTCATGGTACGGATAGCCTGTGACCTAGGGAGAATCTCCTTGAGCCTTACTAGAGCTTGGCGTTCTGTTTCGCCCAGACAGGGGGTGGTGTTGTCGATCGCCCTCGCGGACCACCGAACCCCGAAACCCCAGTCCAGCGCGCGACTGACATAGAAAAACCTCCCCTTCCACCCCTTGTTACTGGAAGGGGCACCACCAACTCGAAAACCCGTCCGGGCTGACAAGAAATAGCCCCACGAACCCTTGCAGAGGCGGTAGCAGGAGAGAAAAAGGTTGAGAGTGGGGGTGATATTGGCGTAATGGCACTCCCCCAGGAATACCACCAGATAACGCCAAGAATTTGGCGTCACCTGAGATGGCGAAATCCGCCAGAGAGACAGGCAGGAAACTATGAGTGGGTGAAGAGGAAAACGCAAGCCCGCCTCCAAGGCGTCGAGGGTCAGGGTGAAGCCCTTCGGGACAGGGTCATATGCCCGTTGACCCGGTTCGGGAGCACTGAGGATATGGTCCTCCGGGATGTTATAGCGCACCCGAAGTTCCTCCAGCAGGGCCCCGCTCACGGTAGAATCAATGTCGTGCGGCCACATCAGAGCCTCAAGGGCTCGCGCCACTTCTTCGTCAGAGGACCTGGCGGGAGACGGAAGGGAACTTCCCTCCCCGGCCCCGAGGACACAAAGAGAAGAGGAGGATGAAGAGGAAGGAGGAGAAGAAGGAGACGACATCCCGACTGACCTTAAGAGGAGGGGAAGGGTACGCAGAAGACGGAAGGGGACCAGGGAGGCAACCGTGTAACTCGAAAGAGAAAGTGCGGCTGCAAAAGATGGGGGCGGAGTTGGACCTCCACCGTTTAAAGAGGATTACTCCCTAGAACCAGCGCCCCTTCGCTTCCCTAGGACGGGTGGCAGCCCACTCACCCGCGGCCGTCAAGTCGCATCGGGAGGCCCCCAAAATGGCACCCGGCATTAATAGGGGCCTGACGTGGCAGCCAGCGACAGCGCGGTGCGAAGTACGGAGGCGCCCAATCATATCAGCTTCGAGAACTAGCGACTACCAAAAAGGGGGAGCCCGTTACCTTCCCAAGGGGAAAAGCAACCTGGCCTCCCGCGCCCTCACGCAGTCAGGCGACCAATTAAACGGCCAAAGGACCGAGTGCCACTCCTCGGCCCTCGGCTTCTCCCAAGGCACACCTGGCGCGGTCACCCCGCCTGCGTTGTGCTCCTCGGCCCTCGACTTCTCCCGAGGCACACCTGCGCGGTCACCCCGCCTGCGTCGTGCTCCTCGGCCCTCGGCTTCTCCCGAGGCACACCTGCGCGGTCACCCCGCCTGCGTCGTGCTCCTCGGCCCTAGGCTCCCC